CATACATACATACCGACAAACCGACACACAGAGTTAGTGGTTTATAGAATAGAAGCATTGTAATTTAAGGCCTGACGAAGGCATTATATGCCGAAAGCTTGCCAATAAAGTGGTTAAACAAGTCAAGAGCTTCAAGCACACTGTTCAAGAACATATTATTTGTTTTCTACAAATGGCCTCGATGGTCCATGTTGTTCTGTTCTTTCCATTCAGGTCCTTCACTGCGGGGCACGGGCACTCTTGCCGCACATTGTGGACAGCCGGTGGAGTCAGCATTAGCACCGCTTGGGGTCCTCGCTACAGACGTCGACGATCGTAGAATACTAGGCGCTAGGCGGTTTCGTATTCATGCTCAAGGGGGTCGCAGATTCATGCTCAAGGGGGTCGAACAATACTTCTGCACAAATTTCAAGACAAATCTGACTTGTAACTAGCGATTCAACCTTCAAAAACGGGGAGCGGTGAAGGGTAAACAGTGCCGGAGAACCTTCACAACACTCTTTAGCGAATTGTTCAGCTGGCTTGATAGGCAAGTCTGAGCTCAGGGTCTCGGAATGCGTGCAGAGGGTACGGCTCTTTCCTAGTCCCATTGGAAAAGAATCGAAAAGAGAAAATCAATGAAAAATTTGGTGGTCCAGTGAAATCGCCTGAGAGAAAGACCGATAGAGGAAATAATTTTTTATCAAATACATTCTATACATCTTTTGTCACACTCGAAAGCATTAAATTAATTAGAAATTAGCTAAAATCTTGAAAATAATAAGCCAATAAGGCCACTAAGGGAAGCGAAAGTGCAGAACAAGAGTGTAGCTCCATAACTCATCTCGAAAAACCCGGTGGTAGAAATGGGCGGTAGCATAAAATACATAATTACCACTGAACAGTTCATCTAATAACATTGATTTTCGTATCTAAGTTCTTCTGGCAGATCAATGGCATTCATTTAAACACCACCAGAGCGAACTTTTCTAGCATACACGATAGCACCGATACCAGCAATTCCAGCAACTGCAACGGCTGTAGCAGCACATCGAACCTGAAGCCAGAAGTGAAATATCTTTCATGCTACAGACACGCAATGAACAAAAGGGCAGATCTCCGACAATTTTTCCGATTATGGGTACAGAAAGAAGCAGGAGAGCCCCAGAGCCAGCGCATAGTCAGAAAGGTTGTCGTGCCACTTGCCTTGAGGTCTTCACTTCAAGCAAAAGCACGATCAATCCCAAAGACGTGTGGGACTAATACGCCTAGCGCAGGAGAGAACTCGAAACTACTGAGCACACGCTGCGAGACGCCTTTGCCAAGGAAGGTACCCCTACAGCCTCTTTCAAGCTGCACCATGTCCGCCCACAAATGTCCGACCGATGCTGATGCTCGTATCGCTTCATTTGCGAAGTACAATATGAAGCGAAGGGACTGATATGAAGCAGGCTGCGGTGCTGCATGGATATATGAGTACATATGCAACTGCATCTACCGTAGCACTTAATGACACAATGAAAAGTCTCCAAGAAAAGTCGACTTTTAGGTTGTCCAGAAAGTTCGCGACATTTTCGAGCGTTTTTTCCGAACCAAGTTTATTCCAGTGAGAAGCAATTTTGATCAACAATATATATGTTACCTTCATCGACAACTTGTTGCCAGCCTACCAAACAGAGCGTAGTTGCCTTGCTTCCAGAGGTCTTTTGGTTTTGTGTCGAGAAAGCAGGGGCATTTTTGAGGTGCTTTTGACAGTCGTGTTTTTCACCCAGAAGCTGGCCGCTGAGGAGCTAGTGTGGGTGACAGTGAAAGATCATGTCAGTGCTACACGAAGACTTTGGTGAAATTTACCAGCTAAGCTGAAAGGTCTCGAGCAGTGTCATTTTCGAAACGTGTGACCCTGAGCTGTGGTGGAGTAGGCAAACATTGCTGGGTTGTGGAACCAAATGATGGAAATTTTCATGCACCCTTAGCAGTAGATTACAGGAGGACCCAGCTGGTTACCACAGTCACCAAAGATAGAAACTTCCTGCTGTAAACGCCGTGAATGGTTCACCACACGCACACTGTCATTTTCCTACTCCATTGATGGGTTGCAAGACCACTTTCGCCCTTTCTGAAGGATATAGCTACTGCGCTCCTGGGAATGGTTCACCCAGGGACATCTCCTCCTTATTCAGTCACAGTCGTTGTTCAGCCGTCTGTATGGCGAGCGGGAGCGGGAGTAAGCCGTAGACAGTACCTATATGCCCTTCCCTTTGAGTATCGGTCAACTCATTAGAAAAATTTTGATCTGATTTCAATACTTTTTTTAAGGGAGCGAGGCCCCTCTCATTTGTGCTTTGGGACCAGTCAAGTGTAAGGAATAGATAGCAAGTTGATTCGTACGAATTGGTTTTAATCAAGGAACGCAGTAGGTCCAAATCCGAAGACAGATGGCCTGCGTGGACGAGGTTTGTCTTCCAAGTAGAAGTCACATAAGCGAAAGCGGGGCCATTTCAGCACCGTATTATGGAAGGTAGCACCAGAACCTAACTCAGAAAAATGCCGCTTGTGGCTCCAACCACGTTGTGGCTTGGTGGAGATTCATATAGCGAAGTGTGTCGAAAATGATGAATTTCAATTACCGTTTTGGATATGAGAACAGCGACTGCGAGGGACGGTAAAGAAGCTGTGGGATGCTCACTTAACACACTTCCCATAGACCACATGATTGGATCTCGAAATGGCTGCGGAAAGATTTGATACGAGGGCACTATTTACCCATTCACGAATGTCACATTTGCTCGGCCCGAAATTTCCTGGCGCAGGCGTTGGTGCCAAAATACCTCAAATCACGGGCGCCTGTTTTGCGGGCGCGAGGAGATTTCGGGCTAAGCGAATGTGACATTCGTATACGGGAAGTCGAACCTTCTTAGGAGACAATACTTTGAGCCAGAATCTGTTCCACGGAGAAAAAAGTCGGTCAAAAACTGGCTCAATTCTGGATGGTTGGGGCAGTAAAGGGTAAATAGTGCCGATACGACATTTGAAAAAATGTCTCAAACTTTCGGGACAACGTGGTAATTCAGGGGTCGAGGAATGATCACCTTTACCATTCTAGAAGATGAGTTGATTCAAATGCTTCTACGACCGCGTGGAAGCCAGAAGGATGGCTCATTCCGAGAATCCAGACTATAGGGTAATTGAGCCGCGCGTTAGGATAAGGCTGGACCTAACGTTGGGCACCACGGAGAAATACAGGGGGGGGGGCAAAAAAGTCACTTTTCTTCATTGACTTTCGAGGCGCTATAAGTTACACTTTATTAAATTCTGATCGGACATTTTTACCACCATATTGAAGAGCATATTAAATACTATCATGACACTCCGCCACAGCCTTCTGGACGAGCGCCATCGAGAGATTCTGGCACGCGACCGCGATGTGGTGCCTGAGATCAGCGAGATAGTCGATTTCTCCGCCACCGTAGACCACCCTATTGAACTCCGCCCGAACCGGGTAATTGAGGGGATTCAGGTCAGGTGACCTACTTGGATATTCCATCTTCTTTAGGTACTCAGCCCCCTTCCATTCCAAGTAGGCGAGTGTTTCTCCAACGCCCTTCGATTTCATGTGGTGGCACTCAATGCTGTAGCAGTACAAAGTTTCCAAGAAGGTACGGGCGACGACATGTGAGGAGGATATTCTTCTCGAGTTGCTCGATGTAACCGCCAGCGCTCACCTTCAGTCCGGGTCCAATATAGGTCTTTCCATTCCAGGTACGTCCGGTCCATACCATCAACCCGCGCCTTGGCGACTGCGGTGAAGATGATGTCCTAGACCGTAGCGACGTTGTCGGAGCTGCTCGATGTTGGAGGTCATCCAGATCGAGAGTACTGGTCTCCAGGTCTATCCATGGGTGACTCCACACGAAGTTTCGCAGCTGTTTGGAGGTGACATGAATTCCAAAGGTCTTCTCCAGTCAGGCTGCGACTGGAGATGACTTCATATTTTGGTGTACATGAAGGTGATGGGCGAGAGCCAGCTCCTGCTTATAGAGGAACATCTTGGGTATCTTCCGCCCTGGTACTCGTATCCACGTCCTCTGTCTGGGCTGCGAAAACTTTGCTGATATGTGACTCGGTCGAAGTGACTTTTTTTTGCCCCCTCCCTGTACATTAGAGCTTCGTTGCCAGACGTCGCCCTATCGGACAACCACTGCTTCCGGTTCTTCAAAATACCTCCAACGGGAAATAAAACAGCTCACCGGAGGAAAGCGAACACCACCTGCCTGAGATCTTCGAGATTCAAGTAGGGCTTGTTCTATGAGAGTGGGATATCGGTAAGGGCTTTAAGACAACCTAATATTTGCCAACCCTTTGGAGTCATTACTAGATTCAAGAAACTCACCGCGGCTGGATTCTTCTCCATCCACTGTAGGAAGTTCTCGTATGGAGATTTTTGCGCAGATTTCTTTTCCAATGTTTCCTGAGACGATTCAACTTTACCACTCTCTACCTCAGCACCTTTCTTTTCCTCTTCTTGCGCAAGCGGGTTCACGACTGCAGTCGGAACATCCTATACTAAGAACTACAGTTCTTTGAAAAAAAAAAACAAAAAATCATGTGTACCTTGCTCTCAACGACGCCAGCATTTTGGCCATCTGACCTCCCACCATCTGCCTCCTCAACCTGAAACAAGAACTCGAACTAAAAAATTTCTGAAGATTAACTTAACGCACCTTAGCCTTTAAAGCACCAGCATTATGCTCATCAGAGTTCCCGTTATCTGCATCGTCAATCTGCAACAAGCGAGGCTCTTTATATAAATAGTTCATAGAAGTTTCGAATCGTCTTTTAACAACGTAAGATACTTCGCAGAGGAATATATGGTGGGTCCAACCTTAACAAAGTCTCCAGGATCAGAATCGACACTTTTTCGCAAAGGAGTTTTGTGCTCAGATTCCACCTGGAAATAATCTTCAATCGTGGTCCCCTGAGCACTTGGAACAATAACGATCCCTATGAAAAGTTATTAAACGAAGGAAATGTAATAACTGTCGGTTGTACCCCGAAGTCTTTCACAGCAAAACTTTGGAAGAGTTCTCGAAGTTATCTCCTGGAGCTAAGATTTCACTGCAATCAAAAAGGCCACCAGTCTGATACTGCGAAGAAAGCGATCTATTAAGTATTCATTTTTGATACTGATGGCATAGTCGTGTTGTTGGTGGCGGATGGTGGGGCGTGTCAGGGAGGCTCGGCACGCCACCAGCTCGATCTTACCAGCTGTTTGAGTGACAACAATTGGTCAAAAACGACTGATGCGAACGAAGGACTGCCTCGCTTGCTCGCTTAAGAAACTGGTCTAAGATGGGGTTGGCGCCGCACCAAAATCCACCCCCCCCCCCTCTGGCACGCCCTATCAGCCGCAGCGAACAAGACTGTAAGGGCTATCAGGCTGATTAACAATTTCCGGAACAGACTGACTGTTTCCGAAAACTGTTTCTCTTGAGTTTCTCTTGTCGGTTTGAGAGAGCTTAGGGCTATACGGCGGAAGTGGAAGATCTATCTCTCCAAACTTCTTTTATTTTCTCAGGATTTCTATCGTGACATGGAGTCGAGCGTCACTAGAAAAAAAATTAGTTAAACCAGTCTCTCTTGCAGGTTGGTGAAATGCGAGCAAGCTGCGAGCAGGGAGGTTATGCACTACCCTACCTGTCAGTTTCCAAGGCAGTTTCTATCGCACTCTCGAGGTCTTTGCATCGGTTTCACTGGAACTCCTTCTCGTTGTGAAGAGCCGTAGCCAACCAGCAGCGCTCACTCCTAATAGCCACTGTATTGGATGACCCATCGTACATGCTATGAGAAACCAAGGGGGCATAACGATGCCAGATCACGTCTAGAGGTGATGCAAGCCCATAACATATGAAATATTTCTGGTCCATGGATTTTTCCCAGGTTTCAGATTTTCCCTTGATGATGGGGAAGTCTAGTACTGCTTTCCTAAGCTGAAGGTGCTCTACCGAAAAAATTGCGAGAGTGCCAATCCTTCCGAGTGCGCTGTGTAGAGGATTGGAAAGAAGTGTTCCGGTTTCCGGTTTCTTGGGCAACCTAGTACTATAGACGTAGGGAAAACAAAGACTACGACGGCATTTGCTACTGTACTCACCAATTGTGAAAAGGTGTACAAAATTATGGAAGACGCGCTACAAAGGTTCCCAGGATTGTACGAGTAGTCCCAGAAGGCAGAGGGCGCCCCCTGCGTGAGCGATAAGCAAGAGATTGAGGATGAATGAATAGGAAGGAAACGTGGAGGACGAGCGAGATGGTCCAAAATAAAGCAATTCGAAGGACGCGCGCTAGACTACTTCTATCATGAGGGGATCTTACAATAAGGTATCTTATTATAAGGTAATCGCGTAATGTCCTTCAGGCTACGTTCAGACCATATTCAGAGGGCACACTGAAAGGAACGTATACGCGCCGAACTGTAGGATCAGAGAAAAGCTCACAGGATTGACGAGCAGGTCGACCACATCGAGTGGTCCCGCTCAAGTGGAAAAGCGGATATTAGTTGATGTCTTCTCCTTTTCTCATTGTGCGGTATGAGCTTCTTAACCAATCGTTGTGCACTTAACGGCCGTGGGCACGAGTACTATAGGCGGGCGGTTGTCGCCAACGTCATTGGTGGAAGGAGGTGAGTGGGTGTTGCCAAACGCCCTCTCGCAGCCCTTCCACCAGTGACGCTGGCAACTACCGCCCGCTTCATCGTGCCCAGGCTTGCCTTTGAGAAGCATTTCCCGCTGCTGTCAACACTGCTTTTGCAGTAGCTTAAAAATCTCGATTTTTGCCTCAACGCTGGCAACCTTCGCTCTCATACAGCAAAACTCTATCCCAACGAACCTCACTGAGAGTATCATTTCCTTCAGTCTCCACTGGTGTAACATCCATACTCGGTACCGCTTCCAGCGGGATACTACCTTCGATAGAAGAGGTATCCTCCTGAAAACCGTTGGAATCATACTGCATAAGAAGTTAGCAATAACTTGGAAAGAATCGAATGCTAATGCTGCTGACTTTGTTAGTTTCGGAGTATTCCTCCAAAACTTACTTTCCAACCGTTTGAAAATGGATACACCTAAGATCTCGGAGGTAGAATGGGCGTGGCTGCGCACATTATTTAAACACGGGTATGCTGAGTTTCTCGTGGGATATTTGCTGATGAGCAACAAGCATCCTGCATTGTGTAAGACACACACTTGTTAACAATTGTTAATGGTAGGACCCTATTAGTAGTGCAGTCCCGCACTTTGAATGAAGTATTCAACCACGCCCTCTCCATCTTTGTCATACGGACTGTACTATGAACAATAGGTGAGGACATTCAAGAGAAATGCGCTTGTTTGTGACCTTTTGAAGGTGCTGGCACACATATAGGGATATATAAGAAGAACCCTTGACCAGGAATAGAAAACCGGGAAATTTAGCTGAGGAAATTAAGACAACCATGGGTGTCTTGGACGCAGGAAGGGAACAGAACACATGTCCACGCTTTGGTTCGGAAACAGGTTGGGAAATGCTGGTGTAGTAGAATTTTTCTGCTCAATATGTTAACGTGGAAATCACTGCAGTGAAGTCTCTCCACTGGGAGCGCGACCAGACAATGCTACCTTCACAAAGTAAAGGCATGCAATCTAGGTTTAGACACCATCAGAGCATAAAATGCCAAACGATGTGTTGAAGGGCTCATCACCCAGACTAACGATCAGAAATTTCAATTGAAGATTTTCCTACCTGGGCTACATTTCCAGGATCCGGATGCTGTGGGGTGACTTCCGGTTCCTGAAACATTTGATCGAATTTCAATTTGAACTGACAACAGAAAATCATGTTCAATTTCTGTTGTGACCACAACAAACACCTACCTGCACCTGATTCCATGCCACGCGCTCCCTAGGAAGGTTTTGCCCCTTGGGTAATCGAGGGCCAGGAACGTTTTCGTCAAAATGTGCTGATTGTGGTTCAAATCTTGTTCATGACTTGAACGTTAGGTGTAAAGGCAAGTGGCCCGGTTACCACGCGTGCGGTCCTGGAAGCAAATTCGCATCAGCTTCTGCTCAGGCCTCTCGCCCTCCGGGCTGGGCGGTTACCAATGTACCATGACCCGGACGAAAAAGGAGGATAAGGCCGATTCGACTCTTCTTTTCTCAGGAATTGCCTGTGGAATAAGTACGGTTAGCCGGAGCAAGAGGCGCCTGTTAAGCCATAGATGGGAGCCCGATCCTGGAGCTCTTCTCGGGAGGGTGACAAGACAATGGCTGTGGCATGGCAAGCCCGCGAACGCCACTTGCATCTAGGTCAGTTACGTTCAAAAAGACTTCTTCGAATTTGTATAGAAGTAGAATGGAGGTGGCATCCCCAAAAGAGATCGATCAACGGCGAAAGCTTTATCCTTTCACCGCTTGGAATATAAGGCCCCATTCCCTGATATGTGAGGGGCGCTTTCATCCTGAAGAGCTGGACTGTCTCAGGTGGTGGCGGGAAGCGGCTGTTGATTCATGCGTTTAATTTCACCGTAGTTCTACTGGTAGTTGGCTGCATGTTGCTCGATAAAATGCAGTCGGGTATTTTTGAAAATATTCAAAGATCAATCAGAATAGAGCAGGCAAAGAAAAGGTAGAAGTTGCCAGCGCTGTGACCAGATAGGTTTCCGTGAGCGTTGTGGCATATGCGCGCCTCTAGGAGTTGCCAAGCGGGCGCCTTACCGCAGGTAGTAAAGGTACCGAGATTAGGTTCCCCTCTACTCTCGATGTTCAGTGTGTTAGAGCTGTAAGACAAACAGCACACTACTAGAACACAATGACTCGAAAACTTACTACTAATGTGATCGGGAAGTTGTCACCAGCATCAGGTATTTCGTTACTTTGCTGTTCTGAAAACGCGAAATAAATTAAGCAGGAACAACTGCACAGGGATAGTAAGTGTTGAAATCTCTAGGCCATCTCATTCAAACGTGGTTATATAGAGCAGTGACAGGAAGTTAAAGGGTTAGGGATGTGGGCTTCCATATCGTTCGGAGGCTAGTACATCTAACAACGTACTCGCGAGTTTTGGCCAACATAGCCACAGATGGAAAACCAGAGAAACTGTCATACAAGGAAAGTGAGCTACTCAAATCCTCGAACCTGCTCTGCTGGGCCTCTAATTACATGAACAGTTCTCATGACAAAAAAAATATGTATCATCTGCTGCAGAAGACCAATGAACGAATAAAAATTGTGGTCGAGGAGGGCCCTTAATGTTCATCCTGCATAAGCAAAGCGGGTGGATAAGTCAAGCGCTGACGTCTGATCACAGAGTATGGACCGTTGCTGAGCGTTCCCCCCGCGACACTGACACTCTGCAACGGCTGGCCGAATTACGCCATCCAAATTGAGGATCGTCGAGAGGATGTCCTATTTTCTCCACAGGGTCATGAGCGCAGAACCGATCTGATGCCTGCAACAGCAAAGTGCTCTGCCCAAAACGCACAGAAGACTATGAAAACGTACCCCGGTCGCAGACGAAAAGACGAAATAGGGTGGTCTGGTTTTCCGAGCTGAAACTCACAAGCGTCTACGTTGAATGAACATATTAGGTTGTTGCATAGGTTCTTTCCCCCGACTTTTTTGTAAATATCTCAATAGCGAACCAGCCTGAAGATTAGAGGTATGCACCATCACCATCCACTACTCGACGCCAACGCTCAGGCAGCTTGTCGATTCCATCGTCCCAGAAGGACGGGGGCTGGGACCCGAAGAAGGCCACAATCACCACTGTGACATGGTTTTGCACTGGTAATTGTGCGGCATTGTAGCCTGCAAATGCAGGGTGGGTGAGTGATAGCTAGTGTGGTGAAAGAGTATCATGTACACGTCACGCACACGTGATGACGAAATACCAACCTCCATGCAAACGAAATACGGAAGGATCAAAACAGGGGGAAAAACTTATGCAACAACCTAATAGATGAGATGAGAATCCATCCGAATCCTGTCAAACCGCTCCATACAAAGGACAAAACCGTCACTGTCGGAGTATATTGCCTGTCCTCGGCAATCAGATCGACAAATGGATGGTACCACACAACTACAAGTAAGGCCACCATTGCTCGTTACAGTGCCAGGCCCAGAGCAACGCTGTTGCGGCAGCACTGGCGACACAAGCGATGAGATTCCTGGGTTCAATCGCCTTATTTGCCTGAGCAGCAGCCATGCGATTTTAACTGTTCTACTCAGTAGAAGGCATTGCCCAGGGCAAACGCTATGACAATTTGTCGACCGCCGAAACTGCCATCAACAACATTTTATTCGCATTGTCAAAGAAAACAGAGCTGCTAAGGGTCCAAATGCTCCCTAGACACTGGGAGTGAGTCAGTGAAGCAGGCAGAATGTACCTGACTTGAAACTTTGTTCTTCTTCGTTCTATTTAATAGAACTTTCCACGTTTTTGAATGAGATGACCTAACAGAAAAGGCTGACTGAAACAGTTCAAGAATCCTGAACAAGAAAAAGAATTATGAACGATGTACACAAAGAATTTTGGAAGGAACCTTGCGGAATATCCTTTGTGTCCGTGTCCATCGCACTCTGAGTCGGCGTTATCGAATCGATTGGCCGCTCCTTAACCTGTGAAAAAACTAATGATGACTATCACACCCTATAGCACTGTAAAAACACGATTGTTTCAATAGTAAATACCGCAAAGAGCGCGCTGAAACGTCACTATAGGACAAAGCCTTAAATTATCAGTAAGGCTGTTAACAATAACAAAGCACCGTTGGAAAGGATGCAAGAGAACAATTATGTCAACGAGAATTCTTTTCACCCGTTATTACTCCGCTGAAACCAGCTCCCCTCCCAGACTGCTGAATTAAATATTCTACCCAGCAAACTGAACATGAGCTACTTATACTAAATCCTGTGTAAAATAGTGAAACAAAGAAAACTGCAACGGATGACTGCGGCCTAGTGGGGAGCAACCTTCCGCAAGAGCAGATTTTGCGAGTGAATCAATATTTGCTAACAATATGTGTCGCTGGAATCTATGACATTGCAACGTTTTTCTAACGACGGCCTCATTCTGCAAGCGTTGGTGTGTTGGCTCGTTCAACCCAACCACGTTTACGACGAAAACACGGTCGCAGTCAATTTGTTTCCCTCATAGTGTGCACGAATAGCAGTACAATTCGCAGGCCCCTGTCGCCACTCCACCCAGAAGTACCAAATGGGTAAAGGATTGAAATAAAGAATATTTTCGCCTTTGATCAATTCTTTTTGTCATGCGGCACACATTTTATTTCCATACAGAACCGTAGTGGCTTATTGAATGCGATGTGGCCTATACAATGACTTGCGGTGGCCAGCCGATGTACAAGTCAGTGGAATTATCCTCCCAGACGAATCTGGTACCAATTTGCCGTCAACAGAGCGTAGAAGGCTTGGCTGGGCGGAGGCCAATCCGGAATATGACTGCGTTCGCGTAGATGTGCTGTTGCCACTACACCACCTCCATCCCAGGGAGCAGATATCAAACAAAATGTTTTTCATATGTGAAGACGAATACATTGATGAAACGGCTGGACCAACCCATGTGCGGACCAAGGAGCATCTATGGCAAATCTAGAATGCGCGTATCGACTGCATTAGGATGTCACAGGTCCGTGATCACAACGGATTTAATTTGGGAGTCACGGTAGAAGTTTTCGAGCGCGAGGACCAGCTTTCGCGCGAAAATCCCGTTACACGAGAATTACTTCACTGTATGAGATTTCGGACTCTGGATAGGTTCAGCTCGAATTCTTCCATCACCGGGCCGCTCGTCGTATGATCCGTCGGATCTGGTTCAGCTATTGAACACTAGGGGACACGTGATACTAGTTCAGACATCACGATTCGGCTTGACCCTTTCAGGCTCCGAAAAAGGCGAATCCGCCGAAATACCAACTTATGCACTACATCAACATATTTTATGTTTATAAAATGCTACAGTCAAGACACAGCATCGTGTAAGACCCAACAACCCAGTAAAATCACACAAGCAATGCAAGTTTGCTGTCAAGCGGGGATATATATAGTACGCATGAAACAGGAAAATCACGGAAAGTCAACCACCGCTCCTACAACGCCAAAACGTAAATACGACCCCCCCCCTCCCAACAATGACCAAGTACGACCCCCCCCTTTACAACGTCCGTGAAGCGAGAAAAATCAACTATCAAAATAAATTTTTCCCAGCCCAAATACGACCCCCTCTCCTGGCGGCCAAATACGACCCCCCTCCCCCTATTGGGGATTCCCCAACAACGATGTGCCCTGGTTCCTTCGCGTCGCGCCAGTCACGAGTGCACTACATACGCACAATACACAGAAATGCCAGGAAAACTACTCACATCGTTTTCGATTGACGCCCACAGGATACTATCTGAGAAAAGTTCCCAAAAGCACCGAAGTGGCGCAACCCCGTACTATAAGTGCACGATGCACGGGAGTAGAATTTCTATTGTTTATGGTGCCCTCGTTATTCGTGAAAGGATTTACTGTTTTGTAACAGGGTAATGATGAATAAATCGTACTTGGTCGCTGGGGGACGGCATTTGACCCCGACGGGGTTCGGTTGTTGATTTTTTCCCTTCGCGCGCTAAGTGGCACTCGACCACAAAATTTTGGGAAAATTTGGTTAGAAGAGCGTAGGTGCATTGCGAGGGGGGGGAGGGGGTGTGCTAGCGACACCGAAATTACCCAGCTCGATGCTCTACCTTGGTTTCAATCGACTCAATTCTGCTGACTCTGCGTCGATTAGGCCGGTAAGAGGTGAAGTACAGTGTACATGATCCCAATGAGAAATTCATGACAGGAAAAAAAATTCCACCGGACTGAATACGGCTCGATCTCAATCAGGAATTTTTCAACCGTGAAGAATGTTCCACTAAGCACGACTGCACTGCCTCAAAACGGCCGGAATACGACCCCATCCCCTTCCTTCGAAAAATCTCCAAAATTAACGTGCCGGGGTAAAAACAGCCACACATATCTTTGGTAACAGATCCATGCATGGAGCATGGTGTACCAGTCGCACAACAGACTTGTAAATTATCCGATTACTTGACTGTCTGTTACATGAAGAACAGTAAAGAAGGTAGCAGCATAGCGAGATGATAACTATTCCTCTGAAAACCGTTCCTGATTCACATCTCTTACCCAGAAAACACACTAACTCCTCGCACTCTCATCTATGCACATTCTCGTTTGTCACAAAGGTGAACAGTGGAATATTCGCCGATTTATTTGAACCTACTGCGTAAAATAGGTCGTGGTGTCCACACGAAAAACCGAAACGTATGATGGTGAGGTCATCTCAGCTGTGAAATTCCTTCATCTGCAGCTGCCTTGTGCCAAAAAAAGGAAACCTGGGTCTATCTGTCAGGTAGGCGCCCAGATCCGTGGCCGCCGTCGCACCAAAAAGCGATGGCGATCGCACACCATTCAAGCGTAGAGTGGGCATTCGTAATTAGGCGGTCCAGCTGAACAGGTGTTAGAACTAGAGCTTTCAACGGATGGAACGCTCTCCTCACTGACTGTGGAGTTGTGAACGTGGGACATCTCTGGGTCTACAGGCTGGACAACTTGCAAGGAAGGAAGGAAGGACGACCACGAGTTGCT